CCGGACTTTTGGTAGGTCCGCGCTTAGGCAGCCTGGTCTGCATAGCTCTGCACGAATGAGCTTATATTGAGGGCTATCCAACATGACGCCTGACGGGACAGGCTCGATGGTTACTCTCCGGACATGGTTCTCGTGAAATATTGCATTTTGTCCCTGGAACTTTAACCCTCGCCGGCACAGGCCACTTTGCGTCCTTCGATGGGTCAAGGGAGGGGGTAAGACCACACCCCTCGCGTTTGGCCTCTGATCGAGCTAGAGCTTCGCGGAAAAAACGAGCGTGTTGCCAGTCACGAGAAAAAGCCGATGATACCCAATTTTAAGGTTGCAAACGCCCGGCTAATGCGAGCCGACATACGCCGAATCGCGATTCCGGCCAAACATGGCCTCGGAAAGGAGGTCACAGGTCAAAGGTTATTTGGGTCAGGGTCATGAAATTTTCAGGGTAGGTGTAAAATTGATCGATGCGAGAGTACTGAAAGTTTCGTCCCGATCGGCCTTTTTTTACGCGAGTTATTCGCGAAAACCCTTAGGGGGGTTGCATCACCCCCCCTGTGCCGGCGAGGGTTAACCCGCGCCGGGCCAGTGCTCTGAGATTCCGCGCCGGGCCGGGGGTGTCTGAGCACCCCCCACCCCCCCCCCCCCCCCCCCACCCCTTCTAACTCGGCTCCTGGGCCACGTAGCTACGCGCGGTAAGCGACAATCGAAAGAACGTCCAAAATAAGGACGAAAACACTTTGGGTCATTTTTTGGGTCAGGTCAAAGGTCAGGTCACCAGAGGTCACCAAAGGTAAAATGTTGACTATTTCAACATTTTGGAAACTGTCAACGGCTATCTCGGGAACCGATAGAGCTACAGCGCCGAGGAAAAGCGCATTCGATAACCCTTTTACAGACCTTTCTGAGTAATGTTCTTAGATTTAACCTCAGGTCAACGGTTTAGCCTCCAGAGGGCAAAACCTTCAAAAATAACCGTTTTTACGAAAAATGTTTTTCAGCAATAACTTTTGACTCAAAAGAGCCATGACATTACTTTTGCCAGCATCGTGTTCCTCTCGTCGAGACGCGTCGAATGAACTATAGTTTGACCTTCAAAGGTCAACTTGAAAATTTGACCCCAGGTCAAGGTCATGACCTGACCGGAAAAGGTCATGTGGCATATCAGTCGGTCCGCAACGTCGAGCCGAACACACCTAAGGCGTTTTCAGCGCTCTAGCACGCCTCTAGCAGAAGTTATTAGCGAAAAACTGTTAGATTCTGTTCGTGACCTGAGATGACCTCGGGGACATTACCAGGGGTCACAGTTGCCATTTTTCGGTTCAGTGTGTCAATTTTACCTACATCTCGATGTTTGAGAGTGTCTAGAATGGCGTTCGTGCAAATCAGACGTTTTTCAATTTTCTCCCATTGACTTATAATGGAGAGGTCGCAAAATTGACCTGACCTTAGGTCACCGATATCAAAATTCTGAGATAAACATTTTATAGATAATGTTGCTCTTATCAATTGCTGAAAGTTTCAAGGCAATCGATCAATCGGTGTAGCTATGACGAGCATTCTTTTTTTTCTGAGGTGAGGTCACTTGGCGTGACCTGGTGACCTCTGACCTAAGGCGACCTGGGTCTAAAATTTTCATAACATGTGCGGAAAAGATGCCCGAACAGGTGTGCTAACTCAAAAACGGCGGCGCGGAGCGCCGCCGTTTTTGAGATATCTGCGAAAAACCGCGGGGTCTGGTTTTCAAACCAGGTGTTCAAACACCCCCCCCCCCCCGGCCCGGCGCGGGTTAAAACTGAGTCCATCAAAGCCCGCCTCATTCATACCGATGTCATGTTCTTGTACGCACTCCTTCACCACCGTACCGACTGCGCTTACCTGGTATCGATGTTTGGCCTTAACCCTCGCCGGCACAGGGGGGGGGGGGGATGCAACCTTCCCACCCTCGGGGGGTTTGTTGTAACGGGGGGTTTGTTTGTTTGTTGTTGGGGGGGGGTTGTGGTAATTTATTCAATGTATATTCTCATTTCTCTTAGTCACTGAATTGAGTAAGCATAGTATTTGCATGATTCACTGAGCTCACTACAAGTACTAGGAGATGGAAATACTGATTATCGAGGGCCTTGAGTCAGCTGGGAATGTTTTGAGGAGGCTGTGGGTGCTTTAAGGAGGCAGGGGGTGCTGAGCTCAGGATTGGGGGTGCTTGAGCACCCACAAAGAGATATAAAGTTACACTTATGGAGAATCGTCAAAGCACCATGAGAGCACGCTCTCTAGGACAAGCAAGCACAAATTGCGTCATAAAATTATTGTATCGATCAGTAGAGATATGCTTCTCCAAAATCACCAGCGACTCTATTGTGCAGCGACTTCAATGTAGGTATTTGTGCATGAAGAAACTATGAAAAATATTTGGTGTGAGGTTTTCAATTTCAGAATGTGACTCATTTGAGGGAAGGTGCGCGAGTACCCTGAAAGCCCAATCAGCGAACCGCCAAGCCAACAAAGCAGCTCTACAGTCTACAGTCTTAGGCCTAGGGCCTAGCAGACGTCCCTCATTTCAACCAATCACAATGACCGCTGCTTCGCACGCGTATAGATAGATACATACGATTTTTGCTCTTTTTTAGTATGACTGGTTTCGGGAGCGCCCATGGATTTTGGTAGCCTCTTGTCCTGACTCCTGCGTTTAGGTATACGCCGAGCCTATTTTTCGACAAAACATAACATGCATTCTCCGACGCCGGCCGGTGCGGAGGTGAGTCGGCTGGCGTAGACCGGGCTAATTTCCGACCAGGTGCGCCGTACGCACGCTGTCTGATGATGAGGGCACCGCCCGCCGCGGATTCCCATACGGCAGAAGCCGCACGACAGACGCGGCGGCCGGCTCGGCTGCGAATGGATCACCTATTGAACCGGTGCCGAGTCCCGACACGGCCACTGAATCCCACCGGGCCTCGAGGAAATCCTCAGACTTTGGACGCGTGTCACCACATCGGTATCATAGGCTCAACTCCTCTCGATGGCGCAGATTTCCGAAATGAATTAAAGTGGTGGTTTACTATGGGGCCTATGCCAGCGAAACGCTTATCACACTGTCGTTCATTGCTCATACCACCGAATGTCGACTGGCGAGGAACAGTCTGCGCTGCTCTCCGGCCGAGAGACCGTGGGAGCCGATACACGGCACACGCGTCTAGACGCGCCCGGCATAATCAGCCCGGTGTGGCCGGGTGAAGGGCTCGCGTGTTTCACACCCGTATCAAACGGCGCTCCGCTGACGTCACGGGCCGACGGCCCAGCTCGGCCCGGTGGCCGGGCTGCCGCAGTCCGCACGGCTCCTTGGGTTCGCCGGCGGCCGGCAGAGCCAGGGCTGCGGAGTCGATAGATTTACGGCGACTCCGACTCCGACTCCGACTCCGGCTTTCAAAAACCAACTCCGACTCCGACTCCGACTCCGGGCAGAAATGTCGACTCCGATCGACTCCAACTCCCGACTACGACTCCGCACACCTGACAGGGCTGCGGAGTCGACAGATTTTCGGTGACTCCGACTCCGACTCCGGCTGGGGTTTCCAATATCGACTCCGACTCCGACTCCGACTCCGCAGCCCTGGGCAGAGCTATGAGAGGCATCGGCTCCGGCGCCCGGCTCTGTCGACACTTCCCTGGCCACAGCCGCACCGTCCGATGTCTGCAGGGTCGGGAGAACAGAGCCACTCAGGGCGGTGACTGTCATTGGGCGACACTGTCCTCGGAAAACAGCAAAACTATCTCTAACGATAATACCCGAGGTAGTTACCACGCAAAATAGGACGCAAAATTTTTGGGTAATGTGCTCACGTGAGAGAATCATATACCGGTACGGCGGGAACCACTGACCGCTGACCAGGGACCTGTGGAGCCTGACGGCGGCAGACATCGGACTTGCCTCCTCGTATGAGTGGGATTGGAGGGGCATACCGCTAAGTGTGCTCAGTGGGTCAGCGCTGCCCCTCCCCCGACGGCCGCGACGAAGAGGTCCCTGTTTGCTAAAAAAAAGAACCCGGGAAACAGGCGGCTAGCCTCCCCTACACGGAGAATGGGTGGCGCACGGCCACCGGCACCCGACGTCCCCTGTCTGCCCTGAACCCAGGGGTTCAGCCCGGGGCTCCGATCGGTCATCCGCCAGAGCACGGAGCGGTCCCTCTGCTGCCCCTGTACCCCCTCCGATCGGTCCGCCGGCCAGGGCAGGGAGCGGCAGGGCAGGAAGCGGCAGGGCACGCAGGGAGCGGTAACCGGCCGGAGATGAAGGGGCGTCCCCTGCCGCCGCCGGCCCGGCCCGAGGCTATTTCGGGCGGCGCGGCCTGCTCCGAGGCTATTTCGGGTGGCGCGGGCGGCTGAGTGGTGTCGGCCGGTGCGGGCCAGCGCCACCGGATGGGGTTACACCGGTGGCCAGCAGCCACGGACCGAGTCCGATGGAGATGGACTGACCGACCGATATGGACTGACCGAGCAGTGGACTCACCGACCGATGGACCGACTGACCGACGGACTTATGGACTGAAAGACCGATGGACTGACCGAGCGATAGACCGCCGCGCCGGACCGATTTACCGATGGTCTAACAGACTGATGGACTAGCGGACTGCTGAACTGACGGGCCGACGGACTGACGGACTGAGAGGCCCGGATCGACGGACCGATACCGACGGACCGATGCACTGAGCCTCGGGATACGGGATGCTGGATCCACGGTCTAAGGGATCCTACGTTTAAACACGGCCTTGTAACATAGGAAGAAAATTCAATTTGATATTAACTTATTCATGGTGACGTGCGGACAAACCACTCACGTAAAAACCTTCCACCTTTTCCATCTTATATGCAGCCTCTGGTTCGATTACCCCTGAAGTTGTCACCGTGAATATTCAATACTACTGAGTCCGTACTCGGTACTAGACTACTCGGTATCCCGTACTCGGTACTCTGTACTCGGTACTTGGTACTCTGTACTCGGTACTCACCCTTTCCGGGCTCCGGCGGCGGGCGAGACGGAAGGCTCCACCAGCAGCGGCATCCCCATAAAATTGAAGCCTGCCAAAGGAGCATACACTGGCGTCAGCGCCCAGGGACTGCCGTCGGTACCGGCGACCAGCGACTGCCGTCGGTACCGACGCCCAGGGACGGCCGTCGGTACCGGCGCCCAGGGACTGCCGTCGGTACCGGCGCCCAGGGACGGCCGTCGGTACCGGCGCCCAGGGACGGCCGTCGGTACCGGCGCCCAGGGACTGGCGGAGGGGTGCGACAGCTGACTCAGCCGCCCGCTCCATACTGGACACTCGTAAACCTCCGAGCACGGCGAGAACATATCCAATAATCAGAGCAGCACAGTGCAGCGAGACGTCCGTACAAGGCGCCCAACATGGCGGTGTGCGGGTCGAGGATTTAGATGTAAATTAAACACAACACATGGTACACTCACAGGTAATAACAAGGGTACAGCGAATCCACCGATGAGAAAAATCCAGACACCTGAAGTGCGCCATTTGCTAGAACTGCGACGTTAACCAATTAACTACAAGAAGCACGGCAAAGCGCTGAACCGCAGGACGCACAGCGGGCACGACGCAGCCCAAACCAGGCCTGAGACGGCTAGGTGACTAAACAGAATGGTCGGGAGCGTTTAGGCGACTGCCGCATCGTCAATAAAGCGTCAACGGGTCATATGACCCTGGCGCACAGTTGCATACATTACATAGCACATACTTTGTCGGCAGCGGATAATTTACAATTTATGAGCCGGATCCGAATGTATGAGTACGGACGAAGTTCCGCGTTCAGAGGCTGCTTTTGGAGCCACCCCCGGGCGCAGTCACGGGAGAGATCGCGTTAGGTGTGCGCCGTGCATGTCGACAGCCTAAGGCGCACCAGCTTACATACTGCCAGCATACTTTGCCCAGTGACATGCATTCAAATATATAAAGTTATGATATCTATAACGACGCTTACAATGAGCATATTTCAACGTAATTCATCCATGCCAGGTAGGACGCAAGACCGATATGTAAAATGTAATGTAAGGGTATGACGCATTCTACTAAAAGGTACACTTCAAGGCACTTGGTGTAAGGCATCCGATCCCTGGCAGGTATAGTGGTCCCCTCAGGGATATGGGGAAAGTAACAGGTGGGATCAAGAGCGGATTCGGCCAGGGATGGCAGAGGGACGGGGGCTATCACCAAACCGGGTTTTATTTACAGGGTGTCCCGAAATTGATGCGCGGTTGATGCTGCTTATGTTCTCCCTCCCTAGAGCTGAACGAATGTAATTTTTATTCAACCACCTCTGGCGCCACTGGCACCTGACTGGCCACCAGATCACCAGACCCCAGCGACTGACCTGACCTCGGCCGGTAGTGGGCGCGAGAGGCCATTCTTGTGCGCTGTGCACACAGGCAACGTGAAGAGACTGCATATCGCCAATAGCGAAAAAGCACAAACCGAACCACTACCGCGCGGTGGGGATGGCCTGGGGAGGTGCGACCCAAGCTTGGGCTGGCAGAGAACTGGACATCAACCTGACGACAATGGGGCACTGGGTGGCCCCGACCGATCAGGAAAGACACTCGAGGATCACACAGGTCGAGGGCGGAAGACTGCCTTGAGCCGAGTGACGAAGATCGTTATTGCAAAATCGACCTTCCTTTAAAAAGTACCATTCAACATAGGCGCTGGCAAGAAAACTGAGCGGCACCGCCCAGCATCCAAATCGGATCGACCATCCGCTGCACCGGTATCTGAAGACTACCCCGGAGCTGGAGTTTGAGGCCGCTCAACCTCGGGACGCAGTCCTGGCTCAAAGTGGTCCAGAGGTGCGGGCAGTTGGATTTCGCCAAGGTCACTCCACAACAACTGGGTTAGTTAGGACTGGAGATGCGTCCTTTTCAATGACGAGGCGCCCTTTTAGCTCTTCAAGTCCCTAACCATCAGAACGACCGGACCTGGGATAACAGCAACTCTTAGGTGTCCGCTGTCGAGACGGTGAAACATCCGCTGAAGATTCGCGCTTGGACGATAAGCTACAGAGGCCTCTCTAAGCTTCTCCAAGTGGCAAGTGCCGCGGGGGCAGACTCTGGCCGCTGATTATTGTCAGCGAGGTGCTGAAGAAGACTGCCGCGACTAAGACGTGGCGGAATAAGGAAAACGGTTCACAAACAAAAGCCAAACTTTTGACACACATGTTCAGGGCCATTTTCCAATAGGAAGGGTCTCTATAGCTCATCACACTAGGAAAACCCAGGACTGGCGCCGAGCGATGCTCCCAGGCCTCTGGGAGAAGGGGACATGGCCTGGCAACATTCCGGACCTGTCCCCGACCGAAAACCTCTGGAAGATGGTCAAACAACAGCTCAGCAAGCTACCACCGGCCAGCCCAGAGAAGACGCTGTGCCAGAACGCGTGAGCGGCATGGAGGAATGACAAAGCAACCACTCTCAAGTCTCAACAACAGGATACAGGGCATACCAGAGCATGAGGCAGTGTACTGTATACGACTGAATGGGATTAGAGTAGCAAATAAACAACGGCATGCATTCAAGTACTTTAAAAGTTATTGAAGATAACACAACCACCCATCAGTTTCGGGATATCTGTAGTTACATGCGATGGCATGGCGGTAATGACATATAGCGGGTCATCAAGGTAGCCACATAGCATTCATGATTCTAGCCACTGTCGCCGCCTCCCGGCCCACGAAAACAGCAGCAGTTTTATATTCAAATTTAGCATAGTAGACATGTGAGCGTACGCGGGGAAATGGACCTGTGGTCAAGCCCACGGATCTTGATTCGGGAGCGGAGGGAACTGAAGATCCACCTCTTCAGATGCTAGCATTTTTTGAATGAAATATGAATTCGTCATTTAGGAAAATAAAGTGAAAGTTGTTATCACTCTGTTTTAGGAATGCAATGTGATGTCAAAAATCTCAAGACAGTTTTATGCCGATATTGTCATGAAGCAGCCGTGATAATGGTTTCAAGCATGTTGCGTGACTTACATACCGAGCCACCCGGCCGCCAGCAGGGTTTCCGCGCGGCGGGGTGTGCTAGTGCTCCTTTAGGAGCATCCGTTCACCAGCGGCTGTCTGGTGGGGTGACCGTCAGCCAGGGACCGCGGATTCCGGGGGGCAGGGTGTGCAATTGCACACCCTGAAAATCCTGAGGGTGTGCAAACACCTATTTTTGCACACCCACAGTTCGTTGTGGGGGCCCATGCGGCCCTGGCGCTTGAGTGTCCCAAGCCGATTCTCGAGGGCCCCAGCGCGAGCCTGATGGTCCCGCACCGGTGCCTGAAGGCGTGAACAGGCTCTAGTGTTATCTCAGGGGTTATCTCAGAACCCCACCCACGCCATTTTTAGTGCTCCCACCGGCTCTTGAGGGCCCAGGCCGATGCCCGAGGGCCCCAAGTCGATGTCTAAAGGTCCCACGCCGGTGTCTGAGTACCTACATGGCTAGCTCAGGGATCCACGCCAGTTTCTGAGGGCCCTAACCGGCTCTTGAGGGCCCCTGCCCCCTGCCCTCCTTAACCTCCTCTTGGGGCCGATGCCTAAGGGTCCCGCATCAGCACCTGAAAGCCCCCACAGTTATCTCAGGGCCCCACCCCAGTTTCTGAAGGCCCTCACCGGCTCTTGAGGGGCCCTAGACCGATATCCAAGGACCTCTGGCCAATGCCCGGGGCGCAGGCCGATGCCCGAGGGCTCCAAGCCGTTACCCGAGGGCCTTACACAGCTATCTCAGGGTATAATGCCACTTTCCGAGGGCCCTAACTGGCTCTTGAAGGCCCCAGGCCGATTCCTGAGATACCTGAGATCCTGAACCTGTTTGTCAGTGAGTGAGTATGTGAGTTTGTCCAAGCTTTTTTGGACCTGGAGTCAAAATGGGTGGACCGATCGGGACGAAAGTGGGACCGTTTGATTCGTCTCCGGCGAGGTAAACTTTTGGTGCTGGCCTCGGTTCGCTCGGTGCTTCGTGGCACATGCTATTCCGCTTCAAAGTTTCGGTGACACGAAATTTTTTGTCAAGGCTACAGGTCAACCAGAGGTCACGGGCAAAGCCATACTGGCGGGACACATCGTTAACACCTTGAACCAGTTTCCAGTGGGGTCACCGTCTGCTAGGGGTGCAGGCTGCACGTGCTGGGGGCGGAAAACCGTTTTGACGTGAGGTCCTCTGGCTCAAAGAAATTTTAAGCTATCAACCTCAAAATCGGTTCAATGGTAGTCCCAGGCAAGGCCTCCAAAATAATGCACATTTGGTTGAGCTAAACTCTGTGGTGCATGAGCTATGCACGTGCAAGCCGATTGCACCCCTTCGTACGTTGCCACGCCTGCAGGGTAAACGGCAGCTCTAACTGGTTCAAAACTTGCAGGTCATAAGAAGAATACATTTGATCACGACATTCCGGCGAGATAATATCCGAGGGGTGCAAGCTGCGCGTGCGGGGGGCGGATAACGGTTTTGACGAGGGATCCTCTGATCCCGGGAAACGTCGATCTAGCGACACAAAAGTCGGTACACTGATAGAACTAGACACACGCTACATGATGTCATGAAAATGACTGCACTGGGGTGCCTGGGGCATGAACTATGCACGTGCAGTTAATTCATATCTTACTGTAGGTAGATATCCACACCAATCTCGCGTGCTTTCAAGCATTTTTGGGATGTTTCGGTTGGTTTCAGGTTCCTGGTTCAGTCCAAGCTCAGTCTGGGTTTCGGTGGTTTTGCCCGGTGTGTGCCCTCAGCACCGTTCCTCCAATTCTGGCCCAAGGCAACGCAAGAGCGCTGCCGGCATCTAGTTCTATGTACATGAGGTATTCCAGAGGCCGTTATGGGACCTTCAAAGACCGTGTGCGGTGCGCCGGTGACCCTAAGAATTGCCGGCGTTGGGTCTCAGGAGCTGGCGTGCGGCCTTTATGGGGCCCCAAAGCCAGCGTGTGGACCGTAGAGCAAAGGGGAAGCTAAGGGGGGCCGGAGGCCAGACCCCCATAGGTCATAGGGGCCAAATCGATGGGCCCAAACATCCCGCCGGCCGTGTTTTATTTTTAAACTAATTCATGTAATCCATGATAAAAAGAAGTGTGCCAACATCAACTGTGCAAAAGGTCTCTCTGAGGCCCGTAGGGGCCCTTGAAGGTCACTGTAAGCCTTTAGGGGCCTGCTTGGTAAAATCGGAGATCGATTTGGATCACGTTGCATGCATGCATGTGCATTTACTCTGCTCATGCATCTCCTGACCGTAAGATGCTCGCTCAGTCATCTTACGACCGTCAATTTTGAAGGTTTTCCCGCCCCGCTTCCTTAGAACCGGCTTATTCCGGAGCAGTGGCGGCGCTGACTTTTTGGAAGGGGCCCGGCGTGAGGTGGGGGGCCCAGTCGCCACATCTTGCACACCCTACGAGAATTTGAATCCGCGGTCCCTGCCGTCAGCCGCACCCACACGCTAGTGTTGTCAAGGATGCGGACCTTTCCGCCACGGGGATGACTAGGTCAGGTGTTTCCGAGTCCTCCCGTCACTGAGCGAGAGGTCCTCGGTATTGTGGGTACAAGGACGACAGAGAAAGGCCTGGTCGTAAGCAGGAGGATTTCGTCCCAGTCTTCGGCCGGGATGGTCGACGGCAGCGTTAGGCGGTATTAAGCAGGGCAGCGTTAGGCGGTATTAACCTGGGTGATAGATGGAATAAAGCGATGCTTACTATTGATACATAGGACCCCCCACCCCAATCCAACACTGCCCGAAAGTCTTCGGTACTTTGGGTAGTCTGCTACACAGCTACAGTCTATGCGCCCCCTTCACGCGTTCAATGTCCCCTGAGGAGCTGCGATTCCCCGCAATGCGCTGAGCAGAAGCCACCCACTCAGAGGGCCCCTCGGTGGCTCCAGGAGCCCGTTGCGCGCTCAAGGTCCATTCCGTAGCCCGGAAAGCTTGACGCCCGGTTAGGCCATCCAGTACTTAGAAGACCCTTGTTAACGTTCCGGGTGTGCTCAAAGGTCCCCTCACTGACAGAACTCAGAGGTTCCTTCGGTAGCTCAGAGGTCTCGCGCTCAGATGGCCCCGGGCCCAGATACGCGCTGATCAGAGGGTCGTTCAGTAGCTCGGGAAACTGCACCACGCTCACAGACGGGCCCCAACGCGTCTTCTAAAAGCCTTTTGGTAGCTTCGATGGGCCTGGCCTAGTGTTTTAAATAAACGACACAGGAATGCTTGGCACCGACGCTAGACACGGTGCCCGTATGAGAGGTCAGCCAATAAGCGATGCAGCCGGAAAGTAGATACCATGAAATCTAAATAAAAACAACTAACTCAAAAATGCCGATTCAATCAGGCTCATCTTCCAAAATTCCGGTTTCATCAACGCTTCATCGTAAAGACACCTATCGGAAATCGGAATCGGTAGACCTTAGCTGTTAGCAACCAGATTAGAATGATCCATTTTCAAAAGTGACATTTATTATCAATAGGTACTGGTAGGGTAGGTACCTAGTACCTACCTATTGCCCCCGCCGTTACGTCAAGAACTCAGAGACGGCAAATATTTAAACAGGTAAGACAGGTAAGACAGGTAAGGCAACGGGCAAAATATTTTTGAAACGGAAAATGTACCGAAGCCCCCTCCCCTCTCCTCCCCCAACCGCTTTATCTGGATCCCCCAGTTCCCTGTCGGCTGTCGCAATTCAACTAAATTCGACCATAATGGATGAATATTGGATGTAACTATCTACCTAGCCCCGGTCGGCGGTCCTCCAGGGGTCACAGACTAAAGATACATAGGCGCGGGAGCCGGGGGGGGGGGGGCAGTGGAGGCAGCTTGCCCCCCCCCCCCAACTCTGGGGCCGTGGGGGCGATGCCCCCACAGCTTTGAGACGGAATACCACACTTTTTTGTATATGTTTTCTTTTTTGTTGAAAAAGCCAAGGGATGAAAAATAAGTGGCCTAAAACCGGTGAGAAAACTAGATTTGGGGGTACCCTAGGTTGATCTCTATTATGGTGTGCCCCCCCCCCCCCCAAGTCTGAACGTAGTTCCCGCGCCCCTGTAAAGATAAGTTGAGATTAAATGTAGATAACAATACGCAACATTTTCACCGTTCAGGAATCCGCAAATCTAAATTCACACTGATATAATTTATAATATAGATAAGCGATTCGTGAGAACGTATCAAAGTCCAAATCAATCATGATTTGCGGGAAGGCAAGGCGGGAAGGTAGCGCTAGCGCAATCTCAAGGTCACAGAAGTTCAAACGAGGAATGCTCAACAACTCCACCGTAGTTTCATAAATCAAGGCGAGGGAGATAGAAAAACTGGAATTTAGTGATGCACATAACGTTGATTCAATCAAAATAAATTGATGACTTTGACGCTGCAAAGTCGCCAGCCATCTTGATTCGCCATAATGATAATCAAACATAACGATTCGCGGAACGCCGGAGACCGGACCGTAACACGCGACGTGACGACGTCGAGCCCACTGCCAGTGCACCATGGAAAAACGAATGCAAGTACTCACCGTTTAATTTGTCTATCGACCGGTCAGCAACACTTTGGTCTGCACAGTCCACGAATGCGTATCCACCGCGCTTCACCAACACACCAGTGCAATTTAGACCATGTTCCTGGAAAAGCTGGCGTAGATTCGCTTCCGTAGCGTCGGCCGGCAGGTTACCAACGTACAACTTGCTCATTATTGAAAGCTAGGTCAGATTTCACTTGAAAGGCAAAGGACGTGAAGGAAAGGACGATAGGCCGGGCTATGGAAGGGTAAATGGTATGGAAACGAGCGCACGCGGCCCCAACGCCCTCTCACTCGCGACGCTTGTCCAGGAATGGCAGCATTTTTTCACGGCCAGTCACACTGAACGCTGATTGGCTGCCGTCAAGTCACGTGACAATGCCGCTTCCCGGCTCGGTTTCGCCGGCTCGCCGCTAGAGCCGCGCGGCGGTCTGCGGCCGGGCGCTTTGCGGCTCGAGCCCGAGACTCGAGAATGAGAGTTATTGATAGGTAATTGAAATAGTTAGAGGCACCCGTTCCATGAGCTCTTTTACTTACACGCGACATTGCTTATGCTAAAGTAAAGAAACTCGGATACAGACGAGGAGGTGAATGAAGCGGGTGTCCGACCCGATCCGAAGTCTGAACGGTTCCTCGTGCTTCCCTCGCCCCTGGCGAGGTGCCGTTCCAACAGATGTTTGAAGCTCGGGGACGGGCTTCAAACATCAAACCCTTGATGGACACTGTCACTGGCAGCTGTCACCGGGCCTTCCCTTCCTTTCCGGCCTTCATACTTGATTCTTCTTCCTTCATCCCGTACTGAAAACCGGAGAAGACCGTTCCGAACCTGTCCCGACTCGCGTAACCGTAACGTTCGACCGGCTGGATAGTGGCTAGTTGCCTGTAGGGCCCCACCTCATGTGGGGACATCAAGAGGACATTGGGAACCTCATAGGCATACTTAGTCCTTTGGGCCAGCTAAGGTCCTCAGAATGAGAAACCCACGTCATGACGCAGCCATCCAAAGATTTGCACGAGTTTTCACAGAGCTTTGAGCGAGTGGTTCTCCAAACCGGTGTAGGACCGAGGACGCCGGACGGTGTCCTAGACTGGTGTGGGTCCTCCGACACCAGTGGGACCCTCACTCTCCTCAGAGGCTGGTGAAGGCCCTCAAAGGCTTGCCAAGTGGCCAGACGTTAGCAAAGGCAGGCGGATGTGGTTCTCAAAGCCTCAAAGGTCGACGCGAGGTCCTCAGACGCCGGTGAGAGCAGTTTAGGGCCCCCAAAGGCCCTTAACTGCTAAAGTTGAGCCCTTTAGAGCTTAGTGGGGCTCCTTTGGATGTGTTCGGCCCTCGAGGGCTCTGTGGGTCCGCACCAGCTGGGGCTTGGCGTATCGTCGGCGAGACAGGGGACAAACGAGAAGTGGATTGTTTTTTTTTTTTCGCTGGATCTAAACGTTCGTGCTCAGCACCAGCGACTGCTAAATTTCCAACAAACTCCCAATACTCAGTCCATTTTCTCCCGGTCCATTCTTCATCCCGTTCCGCACACTTAATTCACTTTTTGAATTGATGCCTACTGACTGTAGATATTCACCTGTACGCACATTTGACGGGAGTCGGTAAAGACCCGTGGCCTGAAAACTTGACCTTGTCATACGCTAACAAGAAAAGTTCATGTCAGTGTAGACGAGAGGTGGAAATGAAGAAAATAGTTTATCGAAAAACGAAGTGAAGGCAGTCTCTGACGAACTAGTCGGCCGCGTCCCGAGCGTCCCGGCCGGGTCCACGTCCCTGTCCCGCTCTGCTGGGCCCCCGGCGACCACAGACAGTCCCCGGCCCGCTCTGCTGGGGTCCCCGGCGACCAGACAGTCCCCCAGCCCACTGCGCTGGGGTCCCCGACTCGGCACTGGCCGGCGGCCGCAGACCAGGCAGCCACTCTGTGCGTGCGTGCGTGTATTTATACAGGCAGTCCGTGCGGTATCTACAAAACAGCCCGCGTCCCCTCGCGCCGCCAGGGATTGTCCGGCCCGCGTCCACTGGCCACCGACGCCGCCCACTTTGTACTCTGTAGAATATATGTTGTGGATAACAGACAGGCACGCACACAGACCTGAACCGGCGGAGGGCTGCACAGCCGCGCGGGCCGGCCGACCAGCCGCAGTGAAAGACCGCCGGGCGGGCGTCTCTGGCGGCGCGCCCGGCTCGGAGCGGCTGGCCGGCCGCCGCGCCCCTCGCCGTCACCGGCCGCCAGCGCGGCGCGTCACCAATTCAGACACATACACACAGACACGGCCCGAATGGAGTCATCACACACCGCGGGAGAACGGACGACGCCCGCGCCCACCATCGAGCCGATTGAATAAATTACGCAAACTCAACGGAAAACATGATCAGCGGCCGACGAGTAAAACAAATAATCATATATATGGGTAAAGCCTGCCTGTGGCCGGCGGCCGCGGCGCGTCACAGCGGGTACAGCTGAATTGGGGCGGGGCCGGGCGCGCGCACCCCGCCCCCGTCACACACAGTATCACCGGGAGGCCGGCCGGCGCGGCGCTAGCAGGTCATGTTGAACCGCTCCCGGCGGAGCAGCATCTCCACGTCTCGGTCGAGTCGGACCAGGCGCGCCGGTCCGTCGGCCGGCCGCAGCGCCCAGCCGGCCACCGTCTGGCAGACCAGCTCGGCGGCGTCCTCCGGCGAGCCGACCTCGAGCAGCTGCAGCTCGGGCCGCTCGCGCAGCACGGCCTCCTCCGAGCAGGCCAGGTGGGCGGCCAGCGCTGACAGCGTCACGTAGCGGACGGCCGGCGCCGGCTGAGAGTCGTTCAGCCGCCGGTAGATGGCAGGCAGCGCCGCCTCGGCCATGTCAAACGTCAAGTTGGCGTCGTCCGCGCGCGGGGTGAAGGCGGGAGCGCCGTCAGAGAGCAGCATACCGCTCGGCCACGGCTCTGTAGGAGATAGAGGGGGAGCGTCAGCGGAGAGAGGAAGAGAGCGGCGGGCAGGGCAGCGTCCGCGCCCGGAGAGGGAGATGGGAAACGGCAGCCCAGCAGCAGGCGGTACCTATGCAAACGCGGGACAGCCCCGGGTCGGTGGTACACAGACAGCTCTGGGTCGGTGGTACACAACCCCCGGTCAGTGATGTACAGACAGCTCTGGGTCGGTGGTGTACAGACAGCGCTCTCATGGATCGGTGGTACACAACCCCACGTCAGTGGTGCACAGACAGCTCTGGGTCGGTGGTGTAATAGTCGACTACAGAATGATGTTCCATTCCTCAGAAGCTATCAGTTGACCGGAGCGCTAAGTTGTGCCGTTTATTACGCAATTAAGCGTGTGGATTGTGAGCATTGGGACAAAGCCATAAATTATGAACTTAGCCCGTGTGATGCGGCACAGCCTACCACTCCAGGCAAATAATTGCATGTGAAAAGTGGAACATCATTCTGTAGTCGACTATACAGACAGCTCTGGGTCGGTGGTGTACAGACAGCTCTGGGTCGGTGGTGTACAGACAGCTCTGGGTCGGTGGTGTACAGACAGCTCTGGGTCGGTACACAGACAGCTCTGGGTCGGTGGTGTACAGACAGCTCTGGGTCGGTACACAGACAGCTCTGGGTCGGTGGTGTACAGACAGCTCTGGGTCGGTGGTGTACAGACAGCTCTGGGTCGGTGGTGTACATACAGACAGCTCTGGGTCGGTGGTGTACAGACAGCTCTGGGTCGGTGGTGTACAGACAGCTCTGGGTCGGTGGTTTACAGACAGCTCTGGGTCGGTGGTGTACAGACAGCTCTGGGTCGATGGTGTACATACAGACAGCTCTGGGTCGATGGTGTACATACAGCTCTGGGTCGGTGGTGTACATACAGCTCTGGGTCGGTGGTACATAGACAGCTCTGGGTCGGTGGTTACGAGCGAGCGAGCGCAGCGAGCGAAGTGAGTCTTTTCAATATAACGGAAAAATCTCAGTATGAGCGGCCCGGCCCGGCCCGGCCTGTAACGCTTTTGAGAGGCTTATATCTCAGCAACCGCTGGACCGATTGGCCTGCGGTCTTTTTTGTTGGGTAGCCCCATCCCTTCTACCCCGTAATTGACTACTTTTGATACATCTCAGTGACCGTCGTGGCACGTGCCACGTGAAAAGTCAAGGGTGTTCAAGCTGTTTTGCAAAAGTAGTGATTTTGAGAGGCTCATATCTCAGCAGCCGCTTGGGCGATTGACTTGCGGTAATTTTTGTAGGGTAGCAGCATCCCTTCTACCCAAAATAGGATACTCTCGATTAGTGGTGTCAATCGGAACTTGAATCTTCGGAATTCCGATTTTGTCCAATGTCCAATTCGGAATTCGGTTGGACAATGATTCAGATGTATTCGAATAAGGTCCACAATAAACGTGGCTTTTCACTCATTCACGTCTTATGTAGAGCAGAAAGGGAAGCTGGAACACAAGACACTACGGCCACTCTCATTCTTACACATACGCATGCACGCGGGCGCGCGCGAGCGCGACACCAAAACACTGAAGCTCACAACGACATAGCAAATCGCTTCGCTTCAGCCCGAAAAGATGGAATGCCGGGCTCAATGCGCGAGTTATTAATGAGTGACATTCCGCGATAACAGAGTCGCCGCCTGCCTGCCTCAACTCGGATTGTTGGTAGGGTATAAAGATCAGCCCGTCTGGTGTCATGATTGTGCCGCTGACGCGCTCGCGGTCCAAAAGTCTGGAGTATGGCGTCCGGCTGGCCTGACCTTATTGTCCGATCGACAGCGCACATTGTATGGTAGGCCACAAGCTGCTTAGCCGTGAGCCAGCGAAGCTGCGATATTGCGTCAGAAATGTGGTCACATCGCCGCTTTCCTGTCACAACACGTGCACAGAAGTTGATGATTTTCTGCACACGGTGGAGTTGGGTCTCAGTACATGATCCATATACAGACATGCAGTACCGCACAATGGATAACACGAGTGCCTGTACAATGCCCTTCACGACAGAACTGGGTATAACGTGGCGTGCATGGTTCAGGGCAATCAGGATCCCAGCGCATTTACGGGACATGGCGTCAATGTGGGCTTCAAAGTTGAGATGCCGATCAACTATCACGCCGAGGTTCTTAACTACCCTAGAATCGGGAATAGCATTTCCACAGAACTCAAGTGTAACAGGAGGCAGATCACGCAACATCGACGGAGTCCCAAGCACCAGCATCTGGGTCTTGCTCGCGTTCACTTTCATGCCGTTGTGACAAAACCATTGAAATACAGTAACTAGCGTCTCTTCCATACGGACGATGAGCTGGTGTAAGTCACGCTTCTTGCCTGTGATAAGCAGCTGCGTGTCGTCTGCGTATTGTACGACGCTGACATTGTCTGGCACATGTAAGCTTAGGTCATTGGCGAAAAGCATATACAAAATACAGCTCAACGCGCCTCCTTGGTACACACCGATAACATTGTTTTTGGTGTTAGAGAGCATCACATTTCCATTAGCACACCGTACCTGCACCTGCTGCGAGTGATCGGCCAAATAGTCTCGGAACCATGTGGTGGTGATACCGTAAAGGTGCAGCTTTTCCAAAAGTTTGTCATGAGAAATAACATCAAAGCATTTTGACAAATCAAGTAACACCAAAATACATATCTGCCCACTGTCCATAGCGCGAAGTGCCAGGTCAGTCACTGCATGACAGCAGGCTTTGGACAACTTTGGACAATCGCTTGCTACACCTCAACATTTTTATAAAGGAATCGTGTTTAACATTGATTGGCTATTAGAAAGCTCAGCTTTCGATATGATTACCACTTTTGAGCTGGTAACGATACATTAAAAGCAAATTAAATAACGGTGTGAGTGTAAATTACTGCGTAGATGTCGGACATCTTTGGACAAATGGCTGGCTTGGACATTTTTGGGCGGACGGTCGACGTAAGTATTGGACATTGGACTGACATTGGACATATGTTTTCTGAAATTGACATCACTACTCTCGATGCATGTGGGTCACCCCCAGTGCACGTGCAAAATACAGCAATAAGAGGTGCCAAATTTGTTCCCATTTCAGTAACTCGGTAATTACTGGGGCGATTTTGCTGAAACTTGGCATACAGGTAGGCACCAACCAGGCAATGCATTTCCATGTGTTGCGGTTAGGGTGCTACTGCACGTGCGCACGTGCAGGGGACGTTTCCAGATCTCGAGAACGGCTGGGCCGATTGCGCTCAAATTTGGTACACGGTTGGGGACCAGTTAGTAGGGTGCCGTGCAAGTCATTTTGGACCCCGTTTGTACGTGCGCACGTGCAGAATGCCGCTTCCAGATCTCAGGAACGGCTGGGCCGATTGCGTTCAAATTTGGCACACCGCTAGCGACCAGTTAGAAGGGTGCTTTGCAAAAGCCCGTTGGAAGCACCCTCTCGGCTCTCGCCCTTCCGCACGTGCAGGGCTCACTATCTCGCTCGCTCGTTCTTCGCCCAAAAGGCGTTTTACTGGTGTAAAGACAGCTCTGGGTCGGTGTAGACAGCTCTGGGTCGGTGGTACACAGACAGCTCTGGGTCGGTGGTGTACAGACAGCTCTGGGTCGGTGGTGTACATACAGACAGCTCTGGGTCTGTGGTACACAGACAGCTCTGGGTCGGTGGTGTACAGACAGCTCTGGGTCGGTGGTGTACAGACAGCTCTGGGTCGGTACACAGACAGCTCTGGGTCGGTGGTGTACAGACAGCTCTGGGTCGGTGGTACACCGACAGCTCTGGGTCGGTGGTGTACATACAGACAGCTCTGGGTCGGTGGTGTACTGACAGCTCTGGGTCGGTGGTGTACAGACAGCTCTGGGTCGGTGGGTACACAGACAGCTCTGGGTCGGTGGTTTACAGACAGCTCTGGGTCGGTGGTACACAGACAGCTCTGGGTCGGTGGTGTACAGACAGCTCTGGGTCGGTACACAGACAGCTTTGGGTCGGTGGTGTACAGACAGCTCTGGGTCGGTGCCCGGTGGTGTAAAGACAGCTCTGGGTCGGTGGTGTACAGACAGCTCTGGGTCGGTGGTGTACAGACAGCTCTGGGTCGGTGGTGTACAGACAGCTCTGGGTCGGTGGTGTATATACAGACAGCTCTGGGTCGGTGGTGCAGACAGCTCTGGGTCGGTGGTGTACAGACAGCTCTGGGTCGATGGTGTACATACAGACAGCTCTGGGTCGGTGGTGTACAGACAGCTCTGGGTCGGTGGTGTACAGACAGCTCTGGGTCGGTGGTGTACAGACAGCTCTGGGTCGGTGGTGTACAGACAGCTCTGGGTCGATGGTGTACATACAGACAGCTCTGGGTCGGTGGTGTACAGACAGCTCTGGGTCGGTGGTGTACAGACAGCTCTGGGTCGGTGGTGTACAGACAGCTCTGGGTCGGTGGTGTACAGACAGCTCTGGGTCGGTGGTGTACAGACAGCTCTGGGTCGGTGGTGTACAGACAGACAGCTCCGGGTTCGCGGAGAAGACACGGACACTAGGGACAGACCACCCGACGACAGCCCGCGCCCGGTCCACCGCTAAGATGATACGCCCGCGTAGCGCTGTGTCTGAGCGCCTGACGCGTGCCACTGCTGCAGGCGCTGCGGCACTCGAGCTCCCCCGCTACCGCCTGACAGCCACGCGGCGGCTCTTCCCGTATAGAGCCGGGGCGGCATGGAATCAGCTTCCACGAGATGCCACCGGGTCCGCATCGCGGCGAAGCCGGGTGATCAACTGTTTTGATTAGTAGATCATGTGTACGTAACTGTATTTTAAGCCATCTCACTCACCTTTTTACCCTGTATTTTTATTATGTCGATGTGTTATGCTTCCTTGTCGACGCACCTGTATCATGTAAAATGACTGGGCCATAATAGCCACATGTGGATAAGCCCTCAATATACGATACGATACGATACGATACGAAGATTTTGAGCCGAAAGGTGAACGCCTCACTGGTAGATGGTGACACAGTCCCGGGTCCAGCGTGACCTCTGATCAGTAGCCAGCTCAGCAGTGCAGTTCCAAAATTGTATTTTGGCTTGGGAGTCAGAGGGGAAATATATCGCCAAAACATCGGATGGGAGCGAAAAATTAACGGTCGGGCAGGGCCCCAAAAGAGTGGAAAAGGATCAAAACTATACATGTCTATACAATTGTGGTAGGATGTAGGATGTAAAGTGACCATCTACACAAATATTTTTCATTGTAGAATTGGGTGCGGAGAATGGTCTAAGAAGTTAGAGGTGAGGGTGAAAAATGATTTTCATTTGGATGTCGTTTCCCATGCAAATGAACGAATTTTGGGACACAGCTGGCCAGCTGGTCCGGAAACAACACAGATCAAACGGTGTGAGCTCTCCTGGCCTGGAACTCACTGTCACCGCGTCACCGGTAGCATACCTTATCCAGTGGACCACAAGGACCACGAGTCAGTAGGGTTAGGGTCAAGGCTTCTGATTCTACTACACGCAGTGAATGCCATAGTAAACATATTGCTGGCTACGCTACGATCATTCGTAACTCAGCGAAAAGGCAAAGAGAGACGGTCAGCTGATGGTGCGACTCACCGAGCGCCTGGCAGGCGACAAAGTGCCAGCCGGAGCCGGTCGACCCCTCCAGGTCCTCCACGTGTCCGTGCAGCAGGCGCTTCATCACCGGCATGTTGGCGCACTGCTCCAGCGGGCTGATGCCTGGGCGGCGGGGGGGGGGGGGGTATCAGACACCGATCAACACTGCTCCAGCGGGCTGGCACCTGGGTAGTGTTTCACGGCACTGTGTTGCAGCGCGCTGCGCGCAGCGGTGTGTTGAATTTCCATGGAAACATCAACAAATTCGGACGCTCGCAACGCTGAAGGGTGGAGCCGAATTCGTCTCAAACGCCGCACCAATACAGCAGCGGGCTGCAGCGTCGGGCCGTGAAACACCGCCCTGAGCGGAACGGGGCGGATGGGGAGGCGGTTTATCACAAAAGTCCTTCCAACCCGGGCTCTTGGTCGCCCGCAAGCCGGCGAAGCAGAAGGACGCGAATATCCAACCGATACTGGACAGGGCACTCCCCAAACTGGGCACTGGGCAGTAATCGCCACGCCATGTGTGGATCGCCCATGATCGTAAATACAATACAATACAAACGGGACCGCGAATATCACAATTTCCACAGACATAGTACACACTACACAGCGAACAACTCGACCGTTTAAAAATCACAAACTTTTCAAGGAGCAGCGCTGCCGACGACAGCATATCAGAGCCTTGCGGGCCAGCCTGGCCACCAGACACGCTCAGACACCCATCTCCACCCTTACATCGGCCCTCAAACAACTGCCACCGCCCTGCGCCCGGCCACCACCCTGCGCCCGGCCTACTACCGCCCTCCGCCTGTCCCAGGTCACCCGTCCCCTACCACCGCCCTGCGCCCGGCCACCGCCCTGCGCCCGTCCCAGGTCGCCCGGCCCGGGTCCACGCCCAACCACCGCCCTACGCCCGTCCCAGCTCGGCCCCCTACCACCGCCCTGCGCCCGTCCCAGGTCCGCGCCCTACCACCGCCCTCCGCCCGTCCCAGGTCGCCCGTCCCCTACCACCGCCCTACGCCGGGCCCAGGTCGGCCCCCTGCGCCCGTCCCAGGTCGGCCGTCCCCTACCACCACCCTGCGCCCGTCCCCTACCACCACCCTGCGCCCGTCCCAGGTCGCCCGTCCCCTACCACCACCCTGCACCCGTCCCAGGTCGCCCGTCCCCTACCACCACCCTGCGCCCGTCCCAGGTCGCCCGTCCCCTACCACCGCCCTGCGCCCGTCCCAGGTCGGCCGTCCCCTACCACCACCCTGCGCCCGTCCCAGGTCGCCCGTCCCCTACCACCGCCCTGCGCCCGTCCCAGGTCCGCCCGTCCCCTACCACCGCCCTGCGCCCGTCCCAGGTCGGCCGTCCCCTACCACCGCCCTGCGCCCGTCCCAGGTCGCCCGTCCCCTACCGGCGTAGGTGGGTAGCCGCGGGTCGGATCCGTACGCCAGCAGCAGCCGCACCAGCTCCGGGTGGTTGTTCTCCACAGCCTCGTGCAGCGGCCTGTGGGGCAGATGGGCACAGTGAATGGTCTGTCGGAGGGAGGGTGGGCACACAGTGAGCGGTCTGTGTGTGTGTGGGGGGGGGGGAGATAGGTGGTCAGCGGTCTGTGAGGGTAGATGGGCCGTCAGCGGTCTGTGTGTGTGTGTGGGGGGGGGGGGATGGACCGTCAGCGGTCGGTAGGAGGTGAGCATACAATCAGCGGTCTGTGGGGGGGGGGGGGGGAGATGGGCCGTCAGCGGTCGGTAGGAGGTGAGCACACAGTCAGCGGTCAGTGTGGGGGGGGGAGATGGGCCGTCAGCGGTCGGTAGGAGGTGAGCACACAGTCAGCGGTCTGGGGGGGGGGGGGGAGATGGGCCGTCAGCGGTCGGTAGGAGGTGAGCACACAGTCAGCGGTCTGTGGGGGGGGGGGGAGATGGGCCGTCAGCGGTCGGTAGGAGGTGAGCACACAGTCATTGGTCTGTCAGCGGAGATGACCAGTCGGTGGGTTGTAGGGGAGAGTGGGGTAAGATGCCCAGGGTGGGAAAGACGCCCCACCCCCTCTAGCGGCAGAACAAAGAATCGAACCTGGAAATTAACGTTTTTGGCGTAAAGCGGAAGCCTGCCTTGTTAATTGCTCCAAAATTTGCCAATGTCAGTCAGACAACGGTTGGCTGGTGATTGCATGTTTTTATTTGCTGCTTTCAAAAAATATTTTGGTGTTAAAACATTGTAAATATCAAAGAAGGTAGATAATTTTTGCGTCCCTTGCTATAGTCGTGATACATTAATATGTGTGTACTTTGTCCCAACCAGTTTGTTTTAGGATGTAGTTTTAGGGCTAACAAATTGTACTGATTAAATGTTAATTCGGTACCTTGGGGAAAGATGCCCCCTGCCCTGATGGGGACAGACGCCCCCCTAAATCCGTACGTTATCCTTCAAGCAGCCCGTCGAATCATTTATTACATACTTGTGGTGAGAGACAAAAGCCGATCTGGGACTATTGAGAGCCGAATACGGTCGGGAGCTCCCCATGCCGGTCTCTCGGCCCACACAGCGACTTTTTGGGCGGCATCTGACTCTGAGAGCCCTGGAGACGGCCTCTGTGGGCCCCATTATTAACTCCAAGGCCCCTCACGACATCCTTTGAGGGCTCCCACGCTCAGTGTCCTGAAATTGATTTTTCGGAGAGTGTGATTGAAGCCGCAAGGACGTCACTATTTCAAAAGGACGTCGATATCGGTGCGGAGCCTAAGCCACTGAAAATCCCTTACCTAAATCTCTTAAAATTAGCGATTTTCACTGGCAATGTTGACTAATAGCACCTCAAGGCATCTCAAATGATCATATATATGTAGACACAAAGTAATGCCAGTTTACCCCTAGTACAATACAAAATTAAATCATTCACCACAAACACCAAAACAACACTTTGAAGATGTCTAGTTCTTGTCCATGATCGTACACAACAGTCAACAACAAATATGCTTCAACAAAAATCAACCCAAGAGCCAGCGGCTATCACTAAATATTGACGTCATAAGAGGGACATTATATCGAGCAAGAGGACTGACGTAAAAAACAGACGTCCAAACAAAGAGGTGGAAAACAGTTCGGAAAATTAATTTCCATAGCTTCCTGTTATGAAATTCAATTAAGAAAACTCCAAGTTGGACGCTGAATTTTTCTTGGCTGGAAAAAATGTGAAATCATTATGCACTTTTCAGTTTTGTACCGACGTCGATTAAATGGGAATGACAAGGTCAATCGACGTCCCCAACATTGCGTGTATTTTTTAAGCCAAGGACGACATACTTGAATTAATACTGTTGAAATTCGGTAACTTTATTTTAATTCAAACAAATAAACACTAAACTTTTTCCCCAACCACTATCAACATATGCAAAATTAACTACTTTTGAAGGACATGTTCCAGGGGCAGCGCTACCCCGTTACTGTGACCTTCTGAGGGGAAAAAATAATTAAATATGTTACAGTAGTTTGATACAAAAGGTATGTTGCGTGCTTATAGATAAATGTCGAAGTAATATATTCGCATGATAAATTTTTATCTATACACTCCACAGTTACTAAAACTGAAAAGTGGAAAACGATGTCCTCAGATCCCTCTATTCCGACATCTTTTCTCCTTCATATGGCAGCTATTACCTTCATATGGTAAAAGAAAACCTATCCATATCTGACGCACAGAAAACGAACATAAAACCGCGTTGTTTACTGTTGCGGCAGTTGGCCAGCGGTGTAGGCAAGGGGAGTTGAGTGTAAGTGGGTTTGTGAGGACTTAGGATATATTTGTTGTCATTTTGCATAGCCGTGTTTTTAGGCTACAGAGGTGATATTTCTTTTTGTTAGTTTGCTTTTGGTGTTCGATATACCTGCCGACTTTTATCCCGATCCGTAAAAAAATGTCAGGGACGTCGTTTGGCTTTCCGGGACGTCACAAAGAGAATCTGTTAAGGTGTGGGTTTCCACCCAAATTCACGAAAATCAGGACACTGCCCACGCTGGCTCCACGGGCCGCGCTGGCATCTTAGGTCCCCACTATGGGCTTGAGGGCCCTCAAGACTCATGAAGACCTATAAGGGCCCCACAACGTTCTCCGAATGCCACCACGGAGGCTTGTTTGGTCGCGCTGGACTCCGGTGGCCCTAACAATGACCTCTGAACTCTGAAGCCCCTCACGACTACTTTTGAGGGCCCTTACGATGGCGTTTAGTGTTTACTGCAGGCTCGAAGGGACTACTGATTCGTTCAGGCAATTCACGTGCCCATTTATGTCACTTATAGTGCAGAGGGGCATCTTACCCAACGCCAGGGGGCGTCTTTCCCACCCTTTGGGGTAAGATGCCCCCTTTCAGTTCTTCGAGAAAGTGCTTAATAGCAAAAAAAATTATCATATTTCAAGCACGAAAGAGTGATATTTTATGGAGAAAAATGATGTCGGCTTCCGTTGAAACTACAAGTTTTTGCTTTCCAGTGGTCATTTTCGAATAATATATGACATAACAAACCCCTGGGCATCTTTCCCCACTCTCCCCTATGTAGGGGTAAATGGGCACGTCAGCACCTAACAGTACCTACGAAGGGGGAGATTGGCACACTTGACGGGCGAACGCACCAGGAAAACAGATCACAACATGAGACATTGTTACAATTATAAGTGAAAAGCGAGTCCAGAAGCAAAAACCAGCAATGCCTGATGAAAAAGGCTGGTTCAGATGCAAAGAACAACACCAACCTGTAGCTGACTTATTGTATTTATTATTGTATATTATTGCCCAATCAAGAAAGGCGACACAAAATAGAGAATCATAATTAACAACTTCTGATGCGTACTAGCAGCAGGTTGCAATTTACACAATTATTTGTTTGTTACTTGGGGCTTTAGGGCACGCCGACTACTGTCATGTTGTGCCAAATTTTACACAAGAGTTTCGGACTGTGCTAAGTTAGAAGAGGTGGTCCTATTTGCCTGGCGGGCATCGCTCCATTTCACCACGGCATATCATTCACTCCTGTTTTAGGTCAGCACACGTCCGGACATACATCTCAGTGGGCACAAAAGCGAATGAATACATGAACGAAAGGATAAAACAGCCCCCTGACCACGGCCTACATATATCGGAACCACGGACTGTATCCCACGGCTCTGGCCGTACACGCCAGACTACACGCCGCTCGCTCGCTGGTGGGACGCAGCGAATGCCCATCCCACTCTGTTGCTTCTGCCCCTGGTGCTGACGCCCCCCTGGTAGTAACCGCCCCCGACACCACCCCTGCCGCTGTTCGCCTTGAGACCGCAGTTGACGCCCGGCCTGGTACTGCACCTAGCGCCACCCCTCACTGTTCCCCCGGTACGTCCGCACCTGCCGCCTCCCCCGGTACGGCACCTGACGTCCCCTGGTACCGCACCTGACCCTACTCCTCCCCACAATACCGCACCTGACGTCCCCTGGTACCGCTCCTTACCATACCCCTCCTCTGCAGGTAGGTAGCTCACCTGCAGCCGCCCCTGCCGCTGTTCTCCATGAGACCGCCGTTGACGCCCCCTGATACTGCACCTGACGCCGCCCCTGCCACTGCTGCCTCCCCGGTGCCGCACCTGACGCCGCCCCTGGCGCTGCTGCCTCCCCCCGGTAGCTCACCTGACGCCGCCCCTGGCGCTGACATTGACGTCCGCTCCGTAGAGCAGCAGCGTCTTGGCCACGTCCAGGTGACCGCGCGCGCACGCCTCGTGCAGCGGAGTGAAGGAGGCGTTGTCGCGGCAGTCGGTGGCGTCCTCGCCCGTTTCCAGCAGGTAGATGACGGCGTCCTGTGCAGCCGGGGACGTCAGAACACACCGCCAACACACAGACCGGGCGGGCCAGAACGACCCAACCATATACAGCAGACGGGGCGCCGGTACACAGTGATTAATGTGTCACCATAGTTATCCAAAGCACGAGTTTGACTACTGATTCCCATCAAAGCGTAAAATGTAGAGCAGACCGTTAACATTCAAGTGTAAGCAGAAGTAGCGGCCCCAGCGGCCGCTGGCGGTGTCTGCGCGCTCTCACCAGGTAGCCCAGTTTGGCGGCGCGCAGCAGGGCCGTCTCGCCGGCGCTCTTGTTGAGCACCCAGGAGCGAATCTCGGCGGCCAGCTCGGGCGAGCGGGTCGGGTCGGCGCCCATCCGAGGACCGCACACCTGCGGAGCGCACATGGGCGGACGGTCAGATACGACAGGCGGTTAGATACGGGAGTGAGGCATGGCAGATGGTCAGCTACGGGAGTCGTATAGGGTGGCCAGATACGATCAGATGCAACAAAAGATCAGTAGCAACAAGTCTGAGACGGTCACATAATGGTAGACGGTTGGATACAACAGTCAGATACGGCCTACGGTGAGATACGGCGGATGATCACGGGCCAGACCAACCATCAGTCTTACAATGACCACCACCAGACTGCAGATCAGTCACAAAGATCAAGGGCGCCGGGCAGTGGATTCACAAGACTTGACAGACGCAATTTACAGACACAGTACAGACAAGGACCGACAAAGGTCAAACAATATACAGATACAGACAGACACACAAAGTAGAGACACAGATTATAGACACAATATACAGCCACACACACACACAGACACGGGCAGACACAGACCGACACGCTGCCAGCGAGGGCCGGCCGTCCCGTCCACTCACCGGACGGAGCTTCTTGTTGCGCGGCACCACAGAGTCCGTGTCCGTCTCCTTCTTCCGCTTCTTCTTCAGCATGAAGTCGAAGCCGGAGCGGTTCTTGGTGCGCCGCTTCTTGACGCGGCGGCCGCGCGCCGGCACCACGCTGGCCGGCGGCGTCTCGAGCGACTGCTCGGCCGGCGCCGGGCTCTCCGGCAGGCGCGCGGCCGCGGCCGCCGAGCGGCGCGCCGCCGCCGCCGCCGCCGGCGCCTTGGCCGGCCGGCGGTGGTTGCGCAGCTGACTGATCTCGTCCAGCGACACGCCGAACACCTGGTGCAGCAGCTCCTTCTCGGTGATCTGGGCGCGCGCGCCGCGCGTGCGCGAGTCGAGCACCACGGCCGGCGCGGCGCCGTCCGCCAGCGGCGAGTCGGCCAGCTCGCGCGCGAACCGCTCGACGGTGGCGCGAGGGAAGAGCAGCGCCGCCGGCACCGGCTGCTGGCCTGGCCGCGGCGTGTCCAGCAACGAGGGCGCCGCGTAGTGCAGCACCTCGCTGCGCCGGCTGTACAGCGCGCCCATCCGCCGCTCCACCTGACGATCCGTGATGCTCTTGTACTTCTTCACCAGCGAGTTGACGATGGGCTCGGGCGCCGCTGAGGGCCCGTTGGTGGTGGCCGGTGAGCGGTCACCGCCGCCGCCCGGCAGCTGCTTGTTCACCGCCGCCAGCAGACGGGCCTCGATGATGTCGACGCGCGTTTTGCGCTGCGCGCGCAGCACAAAGCGCTGACTGGGCGGGGCGGGCGCGTCCTCACCGCTGGAGGCCATCACCTTGGCGCAGATGAGGTCGACGCTCTTCTGAGAGGCGGACCTGTGCCGCTCGCGGCGTCCGCCCTCCTCCTGACTGAAGCGCGCCGAATTCTTCCTGTCGGCGGTCGGCGCCGCCTCGGCTCGATTCGGAGTGCGCGCCGGCGTCGGCGTCGATCGGGCCTCCTTGCGCGGCGTGCCCTTGCGCGTCGGCGTGCCGGGCGCCTCGGCGGGCACCGACTTCCGCTGCAGCTTGGGCACGAGCCGCGGCGGCACTCGACAAATACCCGTCTTCCATGCGAAGAAGCGTTCCTGCCAGCCCTCAGCCCAGGCGTCCGCCACGGCAGAGGCCGAGAAACGCTCCCGAGCGAAGCGCGCGCGCGGCCGCTGGCGAGTCAGCACCTCGGCCACCCGCTCGAGCACCTCTCGGTAGTCCTGCGGATAGTGGTGGATGATGTCGAGCTCGTCACGCTCCTCGTGCGGCGGCAGGAGCACGTCCAGGATGGACGGTATTGTCCGCGACTCGGTCGAGTCCCTCCTCCGTGAGCCACTGCCGCTGGAGCCGGCGGCGCCGCCGTCCCGCCTCGCGTCCCCGTCCCCGCCGGCTGACGGCGCCGCCGGCGGCGGCTTTTGTACACTGTCGGCGACCGCCTCCGACTCGGACACACTGCACTTGGCCCTGGACCCGTCACCGGCCTCGTCCTCCGAGCTCCGCGCCGGCTTGACCGCTTTCGTTGCACTCGCCCCCGCCTTCCCAGTTCGGCCCGCGCGCGCGCCCCGCGCCACCGAGCCGTCCCGTGAGCCCTTCTCACTGGCGTTAGAGCCATCCCTGAGCCGAAGCGTCCTGGTTGAGTCACGGGCGGCGTCCCCCGCCCCACCGTCCGCACTGTCCGCCGAGTCCGTCCGCGCGCCGACCGCCTTCCGCCGGCGCAGTTTCCGGCGACCTCCGCGGCCGTCGTCCGAGTCCTTTTCGTCGTTGCGCTTGGCCCTGCTCGAGTTCCTGGTGCGCGGCGCGTCCGTGCCGCTCGCCGAGCCGTTCGAGTCCGACTCGACGTCCTCCTTTCGTTTCCGCCTGGTGGGCGCCGGCAGTCCGTCCTCAAACACCAGCCGTTTGGCGGCGCGCCGCGAGCGCGTGCGGCCGTCCCTGCGGCGCGAGCCGGCGCTGCGCGTCACGCGCCGCTCGGGCCGGCCGGCGCGGCGGGTCCTCAGCCGGCGCTCCGACGGCGCGTCGCTGTCGCTGCTCTGGCTGCTGTCCGACTGCTGCAGGGGACGGCGGTGGCGCAGCGGACGGCGCGCCGGCCGCGGCTCGCTGTCGCTGCTGTCGCTGGACACGGCACGCCGACCGCGGCGCCGGGCCGGCCGCCGAGCGTCGGCCGCGCCGCTGTCACTGTCCGACGACTGGACGGCGCGCCGGCCACGGCGGCGCGGTACCTCCGACTCGTCACTGCTCTCGCTCGAGTCCTGCGACTCGGAGGAGTCGGAGGAGCTCTTGGACTCGTCGCCCGACTGAGAGAGCTCGAACTCACTGCCGCTCTTCTCCGGTTTGGGCTCGACTTTAGCCTTCGACACGGGCGGAGTGACTCCGTTGCTCGTACTCTCTGGCGCCGAGTTCGCCGTGGTCTGATTTTCCTCGGCGTCCGGTTCAGTTTTGACCACTGGCTGCGGGGAGGGCGCCTTGGGCGGCGGCGGCGGCGGCGGCGGCTCCAGCGTCTCGGGCTCCGGCTCCTCTGCCGGCTCCGCCTTCCCGCTGGTCACCTCCTGGAGCTTGCTGACGATCTTGGTGCGCGTCACCCGCTTGCTCTTGACCAGCTTCTGGTTGGACTCGATGTTTTCGGCCAGCGAGTTGCACACACTGCCCCAGAAGTCGCTGTCCAGGCCGTCCCCGAACACGTCGACGAGCGGCCGCTCGGGCGGCGGCTCCACCTTGGCGCGCGCTGACACCTTGTGCGACAGCACGGGCACCTCGCCGTCCGAGCCGCTGTCGAAGTCGAACACCGACTTGTTGGACTCTGTCGACGTCGACTGGCGGACCGGCGGCGGCGGCGGCGGCGGCGCTGACGCCGAGGGTGACTTCATCTCGGCCTTGGTGCGGACGCGGGCGGCGGCCGCCGCCGACTGGCTGCTTGGCACCTGGCGGATCTGCCGCTCGTAGCGCGACAGCTGGCCCTCTAGACAGCGCTCCTGCTCGGGCGTCATGAACGGGCCCTGGGCGCGACGGAACTCCACCGGCGCGCCGGCCACGTGCAGCGACGGCGGCGTCCGGCCACCGCGCGGCGACACCGAGCCCGTGGACGGACGGCGCGCTACCTTCCGCGGCTCGGGCGGCCGGGCCTGGCCCAGAGGGTCCGCCGGCGGCCGGGATTGGCCCAGAGGGTCCGCCGGAGGCCGGGATTGGCCCAGCGGGTCAGCCGGCGGCCGCGCCTGCCCCATTGCGTTTACTGGCGCTGCCGGAGCTGGCCGCGCCTGCCCCATTGCGTTTACTGGTGCTGCCGGAGCTGGCCGCACCTGTCCCATTGCGTCCGGCGCCGTCGGCGGTCGGGCTTGTCCCAGTCCGTCTGGCGGTCGCGCCTGCCCCTGTACGTCCGGCCGCGCCTGCCCCCGTACGTCCGGCCGCGCCTGCCCCTGTACGTCCGGCCGCGCTGTTGACGGTGGCCGCACCTGCCCCAGAGAGTCTACCGGCGCCGCCACCGACTCGTTGATGAAGCTGGTCACGCTGTTGTAGATATCCAGCTCTCCGGCGCAGGCGGGGGAGCGCGCTGCCGGCGCCGGCGGCGGCAGCGGCTGCACGTGTTTCTCGGGCGACGTGGCCGCCTTCATGTTTGGGAAGAGCAGCGCCAGGTCCTGCGGCGAGTGGCCGGCCGTGCCGCCGTTCAGGCCGTTCCGCAGCAGCTCCTCCAGGCTGCTGGCCTCGGCCAGGTCCTCCGAGGGCTGCCGGTGGCGCGGCCGGCCCTCGGACGAGTCGCGCCGCGCTGCCTTGCTCGGCCGGTCGAGGGACGGGTCCGGCGGCCGTTTGCCGCCGGCCGGGCCCGACTGGGAGGTCAGCGGACCGTTCTGCGGACCCCAGGGAGTGGGCAGCGGCCGCGGCGCTGGACGACTGGGCTGGACGGGCCGCGCGAACGGCCCGACCGCCGGCGCCGGCGGCTGGCCGGACCGGGGCGCCGCCCCGTTCACCGGCGACCATCCGTGCGGCGGCCGCGGCGGTCCCGGGTGGCGCTGGACACCCCACTGCTGCGCAGCCGCCGGCTGCTGCTGCTGCTGCTGCACCGGACGCTGCCACTGCTGCTGCTGCTGCTGCTGCTGGTGTTGTTGTTGCTGCTGCTGCTGCTGCTGCTGCTGCTGGTTTTGTTGCTGCAGCTGCTGCTGCTGCTGCTGGTGTTGTTGCTGCTGCTGTTGCTGCTGCTGCTGCTGGTGTAGGTGTTGTTGCTGTTGCAGCTGCTGCTGGTGGTGATGTTGCTGCTGGTGTTGTTGCTGCTGCTGCTGCTGCTGCTGTTGCTGCGAGGGAGGCTGTCCGGACCGCATTGCTGGGTGCAGCTGTTGACCCATCTGGCCGTGCCGCTGATACTGGTCTGGCTGCTGGTGTTGGTGCGGCGGTGCCGGCGGCCGCTGCTGCTGGTGCCGCTGAGGGTGTCCCTGCTGCCCAGGCTGCTGCGGCTGCTGGTGGTGGTGCGGTGCCGACATTCTGTGCGGGTATGGCGCTGGGTAGCCCGGCCGGCCCGGCTGCGGCAGTGCAGAGCCGGGCGGCCGGCCCGGCTGCGGACACTGACCCGGTCCCGCCGGCGGCGGCGGACCAAACCGGGGCGCCGGCTCGGCAGACATCGGGCCACCGTAGGCCGGCCGGCCCGGTGCGTTCGGCTGCTTCTCCTGGCGCGGCAGGTCGGACCTTGCCGCGGGGTGGCCCGGCGGGTGGTCCGGCCTCGTCGACGGGTGGCCCGGGGGCTGGTCCGGCCTGGTCGCCGGATAGCTCTGAGCCTGGTCCGGCCTGGACGTCGCCGGGTGGCCCGGAGGATGGTCGGGACGAGAGGCCGCTGGGCGCTCCTGCCGAGGCTGCTCGGGCCGCTGCGGAGCACCGCCGTAGAACTGCTGAGGAGCCGGGCTGGCCCGCGGCGGCGGCTGCTGCGGCGAGGGGCTGATCCGTATCGGCACTCCGCCCGGCGGCTGGTACGCCGTCGGACTGGCTCGCGGTGAAAAGTTGAGCGGTGCCGCGGCGGCCGTGGTCGCGTCACTGGACGGTACGCCGAACGGCCGGGCCGGCGGCGCGGCGCGTGGCGACTCGGGCGGCGCCGGCCGCGGGCTGGGACCGCCGGCGGTCGCCGTCTCCAGCGGACCGTTGTGGCCGCCGGCCGCCGGCTCAGGCGTGCGTGCCGGCGACGGAGCGGCGCGCCGCGGGCCGGCCGCCGCCTCGGCCGCCGCCGCGGGGGACGCCGGCGGCCGCCAGGGCTGAGCGCCGGTCGGTGGCCGCCACTCGGACGCCGGTGACCGGAAGCCGTCCGAGCGGCACTGGGGCGGCGCCGCGGCCGCCTGCGAGGCCGGACGGGACGCCGGCGGACTGTTGAGCGTGTCGAGCGGGGCGCGCGCCGGCGGCGGCACAGACTCGGGCCGCGGCTCGCGCTGCTGCCGCGCCACGCTCTGGCTGGGCAGGGTCGGCATCACGCTGCGCGGCCGCTCCTCGGCGCCGCGGCGCACGCTCAGGTCCAGCACCTCGGTGGACAGCCGTTTGCGGGGCTGTCCGGTGTCGGCCGGCGGCGGCGGCGGCGCGGCGCTGCCCGGCCGCAGGTCCAGCAACTGTCCGTCCCCCGAACTGTTGCGGCGCCCCGCCGTCTCCGCGGCCCACGGCGCCGGCGGCGGCTGCTTGGCCCGCGCCGCGCCGGGGTCGGGCCGCGCGGCCGGCGGCGGCTGGTGGTTGCCCACGGCCTGTGGCTGCGACATGGACGGCCACCGGTAGCCATGCCGGCCGGCGGCGGTGGAGCCGGGCCGCATCGGCGCCGGCGCGGCGTCCGACACAGCCAGCCCTGCCCCGGAGTAGGCGGCGCCCGGCGCCGAGCCGTGGTTGTAGACGAGTCTCTGCTGGTCCCTGGGCGCCGGGGACGGGTAGGTCGACTGGAGGCTGGCGGCGGGCTGGTAGGTCGACTGGAGGGTGGCGGCGGGCTGGTAGGCCGACTGAGCGGCCGGCTGCGCCGCTGGCCGCGGGTCGCCGCTCCGGGACGCGGCTGCCGTTGACGGCTGCTGTCGGCCGTAGTAGTCCAGCAGGTCGCCGAGGTGCCCGCCGCCGGCCTGCGGGGCCGCCGCCGGGTGAGCGGCGTACAGACCGTCGGCGGCCGGCCACGGGGCGCGCTGTCCCGTCTGGAGCGGGCCGCCGGTCGGGCCGCGCGGCTCCAGCGGCGAGCGCTGCCGCAGAGCTGACTGCAGGGCGGCGCGCGACTGGCTCAGTGTGGGCAGCTGCGGCCGGCCGCCCTCCAGCACCTTCACCACGTGCTCGGCGCGCGCGCCGCCGTCCGCCGCCGGCGGCCGGCCGAGCTGCTGCTGCTGCTGCTGCTGCTGGCCGCCGGCCGTCACCGGCGACCGCGTCTGCTGCTGGTAGAAGCCCTGCGCGGCGTGCCGGGCACCGGCCGGCGCCGCAGAGTGGCCCAGCATGCTCCACACGCTGTCCGGGCCGGCGGTGCTGTAGCGCGCCGCGGCCGCCGGGTCGGCAGACAGTCCGGCGTAGGGCGCGTACGAGCCGGCCGCCGCCGAGGACACGGCGCGCTCGGGCCGCTCCGGGCCGCGCTGGTAGGCGGGCGGCCAGCCGGCGGCGGCGGCGGCGGCGGCCCGCTCGCCGCCGTCTGACGTGCCACGCGTGATGCTGCCGGAGCCGACGCCGGGGAACAGCTGGTACGGCCAGCCGGCGGCGCCGGCCGCCGGCGAGTCGGCGCTCGACGTCGGCACGCCCTGGAAAAACTGGCGCGTGCCGCGCAGGATGTTGGAGAACTGGTGGTCCATCTTGGGTCACCGCGCCGCCACCATAGAGTGCTGTGCCGGGCGTCAATTATAAGATACGGGCGCTAAGTGACGACCCAAGCGTCATCCTGCCAACGAGAGGTGGACAAGAGTCAATAGACATCACATGGCCCTGAAACTCGGGTTCTGCCTTCATTAATCTGTGGAGTTAATTCAGAAAGGGAAATAAACACTCTAAGTGAGCTGCCGATGTGCCATATCAAAAACGCCTAGGGTTTTAGTCTTAGGCTGTGAGGCACTGTTTCACAGCCCAAGTTTTTCCAACGGAGGCCGCTGCTCCCTTTGGCACTTTCAACATTTTTTTTTTTCAAGAAAAAGTAAGGCATAATAAGACAATGCCCTGAACTATTTCATATAAAATTATTTTTTATTTCTAGCACGGTAAGACCGTATCAAAAATACTAAACATATATCTACAGTTGCATATTTAAAATCACAATAAATCATCTTGGCTATGTTCGGTGAGACTGTGCCTCACTTGATTCTCCTATACAAAAGCATTAGGCCACCAAATTGGCAACTATTATGTAGCATGGTAAGCACCCAAGGTGGCAGCATTGCTATGCCGAGGCATGGAAGCTATATGGCCTAAGCCATGAATGAAATAAAGGAAGCAACCCAATAAAAGCTTTTTTACCCAAAAGCTGGTGAGGCACTGCCTCGAGTTCCTTAATGGAAGAACCGCCGCTGCAGACATGAAACACGGCGATCATTATTACGATATCGAAAGAAAATGACTCAGGGTTAGTGTTCTGAAAAAAAATATATGTCAGTTGTGGAAACAATAAAATCGAGGTCAGGGTAAGGTCAGGTCAGGCCAGGTAACGGAAGGCTACTTCTGCTATGTGGGTATGCGACACAATGTGATTCAGATGTTTTTCTTAGCGCCAGATCCGATGGTCATGGTTATATCTCTCTCAAGCTTACTGGCCCAAAGACTCACGAGAATGTTCACATTTTCAATTTCATGTCATAAAATGGGTGTCCCAAAAGACCTGCGTCGTCCTTTTCTCCACGATTTGCGCCTCTGCCGTTGTTATAATCGCGGTGTCGATGAGCTTCTTTTTGAATGGATATACAGCACTGTTTCCCATTCAGATTCCTCGCGAATGTTGCAATGGCACATGACTGACCTTGCTTACCGCGACTGTCGGCTGGCCCCGGGTCAGTCGCACATGACATGCAGGTCACCAAACGGGTCACACGCGGCCAGAGAAAAGGCGCTCACGCGCTATTTGATTGCTGAACATGGTTGTGACTTAGAACGTCTTAAAGTTAAGAGAAGAGTCGTCTTAGAACTACGCAGAGGTCAGACTGGTTCCGTTAAACGGTCGATTTCGGCGAAAATTTAACATCAACTGCCATGTATTGAAACAGCCAAAGTCCAAACATCCTATGAAGTTCATGATATGGGACGAAATGAGAGCACATGGTCTTACCAGGTTTTTCGTAGCATCCCTACAGCAGATGATGCCCCGAATCGATATTCAGGCCTGACATGGTTTCCAAAAGGGTCTCAGGTCAAAGGTCACTTGGTCAGGATTATGATATTCCTGGAGATGTAAACTTGATTTTTTAGGGCAATGAAAACATTGTCGCGATTCGTCGCTTTTATTATTCGTGAAAAAAAAATCCGTTAGCCCCCCCCCCCCCCTAAGTACGAGGGTTGGCCTTTGCCCTGGGAAGGGCGTTTAGGCATGAATGATGGGGTAATGTTTGTCACAGGGCAGAGGAGCCCATTGTTTTGGTGACTCTGACTCTGGCTAAAAAAAAAACGCTTTTGGCTCAGAATTCCACTCCAGCTCCGACTCTAAGTCCTTATCATGACAATAAAGTTGATGTTGGAGACCTTTTACCTCACCTGAAATAATCCCTTGCGCGTTCCAGGGACTTACATTGCAAATAGTTACACCTCATAAATAGCATACAGAACTTAGAGCAGATCAGCCCCAGCAGCCGTACCTACGCCTTTTTGCTGAAAACCCTCAAGTAAAACGTAAGTATGACCTAAGCTCGGAAAAATAGTTTTGGAGAGGTCAAAGAGCATAATATTTTCAAGCAAACAATCATAGAGCATAACGTTGCGCTATGCAATGTTGACTCCGACTCCAGAGTCGGAGACTGTACAATACAATACAATACAATACAATACAATACAATACAATACGGATGGCGAAAAAAGAGTCGGAGACTGTGATATTTTGGCGACTCCGAATTCAACTCCTCGCAAAACTATAGACTCCGATTCCACCGTCCTGGTTGTCCACTGTTTCCAGGTTTTCAACGTGTGAATTTTGATCCCTGGTCCTCTACCCGTTTCATACGGCGGTTTCATTTGAATTCGCCATGATGGGCCGGGGGGCGAGATTTTATCGCACACTGTAAAATCTTAAAATCTTAAAGAAAAAATAAGAGAGGAAAAAGCGAAAAATATATTCCCTCCAACAGAAAGTACCTACCTACTACGAAAGGAGACCCCATCGTCGCTCAGGTTCATGCTGACGTCAATGGAGGTAAAAAAGTTAAAATTTTCAATCAAATTTTCCCGATTGACCCTTTTCACCAATCAGAGCATAGCTCGTGAACCAGAAGTGCTACAACGTCGCAGAAAAGTGAAATCGATGGCTCTTCCAAAGCTGCTTCACCAGCGTGCCTTCATATTTGACCTCAGGTCAGTAGTTTGAGGCTCAGACGTCTGAAACTTTCAAAATAGGCCGCCTTTGCACATTGCAGACGTTTTTTTCTGCAATAACTTTAGAACCAGTAAAACGCCTTTTGGGGCGACTAACGGAGCGACCGAGAGGGGGCGAGCCTTGCACGTGCGAAATTTCGAAGGGTACTTCAAACTGACTTGTGCACGGCATCCTACTAACTGGTCCCTAACCGTGTATCAAATTTGAGCGCCATCGGTCCAGCCGTTCTCGAGATCTGGAATCGACCCCTGCACGTGCTGACGTGCAGCAGCACCCCAACTGTGGCACATGGAAATGCATCGCCTAGTGGGTGCCTACCTACCTACCAACTTTCAGTGCAATCGGCCCAGTAGTTACAGATATGTTGCAATTGTTACACAAAACTGACACCTCTTCGTTTTGCACGTGGCACGTGCATAAGGGGTCACCCACATGTATCCAAAATAGTCAAATACTTGGTAGAAGGAATGAAGCGGACGGCCATGACATAATGAGTCGTTCCGGTCTGGTCGGAAAGGCTGAAAAATCATACTTTTACATAAAATGATAAAATTAAATGTCAATGAGAAACGACACCTGTAAGTAACTTACTTTTACCGGCATCGTGGCCCTCTCGTCAAAATGCAGCGAATGAACTATAATTTGACCTTAAGAGGTCAACTTGAAAATTTGACCTCAGGTAATGACCAGAAAAGGTCATGTTGCATATCAGTCGATCCCTATCGTCGAGCTGAACTCATCTAAGGCATTTTATCAATCTGGCATGCGTCTATCAAAATTTATTCGCCAAAAACTGTTAGACACCATTTGTGACCTGACATGACCTCAGGGGCATAAAATGGGTCATGGGTGCCATTTTCATGTTCAGTGCGCAAAATTTACTTGTAATAGAGTGTTTGAGAGTGTTCAGAATGACGTTTGTCCAAAAGAGACGTCTTTCAATTTTCTCCGGACTCCGGTTGACTTGTAATGGAGAGGTCGCAAAATTGATCTGACCTTAGGTCACCGATATCGAAATTCCAAGACATACATTTTGTACATACTGTTGCTCTTAGCAATCGTTGCAAGTTTCAAAGCGATCGGTCTTTCGGTGTTGCTATGACAAACATTGAAACATTTTATGAGGTCAGGTTACTTCAAGTGACCTGGTGACCTGACCTTGAATGACCTTGGTCTGAAATTTTCACAACATGTGCAGAAAAGATGTATGATAAGGTGTGCCAAAAACGGCGCTGCCGTTTTTAAGACCTTCGCGAAAAAATACAGGGGGTGTTCAAACACCCCCTCCAAGACACAAGTCCACCAATAAGGGTTAAGTACCCGTAAGGTACCTAGGTGTAAAGGTTAGGTCAGGTAAAGTAAGGCAAGCTGCAATGTTTTTCTTATAGCATATTTGTGAAATTATGAAGTTTTTTTTTGTAAATAAAAAACAAAACCATCAAGTTGTATTATTACTGGTGTGTTATTTGGTATTGTTGATGCTTTTCTCAGTACCTACAAAACAATCAAACCTAGCCTAACATTATACCTACTTACCACCTACCAAGCACCTACCTTGCAGTCACACCAAGCAAGGTACCTACCTTAATGAAAGATAAGCCAGGGTAGGGTAGCTGGTAGGTTAACCAGGAGTTGCTAAAGTGGTTCTGGTTAGGTTTGTAATTCTGCTGATAAAATCTTAACATTCATAATTCCTTCCAAGCATACTACCTCGCTCAAAAAGATAAGCTTTTCAATACTTGGTTTGAGGCCTGGGGGCTTGTTAATCTTTGACAAAGCCACCTGTCCAAACCACCTGTGTTGCAAGCATATCAGTTAAGGCATAAATGGCATCAAAAATTTCCATTAATTCTCCACAAAAATATCTGATCCCCTTTTGTGACTTCCCTGCTACCTACCCATACTATTTGATTTTTCATGCAGCTGCACATTTTAAACAAACAACACTGGCCAGAACACCTTGCAAAGGTTGCTCAGAGCCCAGAGGTCATGTATGTCCCTAATATTCATTAAGAATTACATTTTGATTCAGAATTAGTTCACTTAGAATTAAGTCTACAATAAAAACATCTCACCAGTCACCATTCACCTAACTATAAGTTAAGGTGATTGGTGACAAATAACAAGAACATGCCTATTCACACTGATCAGCTTTGAGTCAGTACGCAGACACCAAAATATTAATGTAGATTCATGACCTTTCCAAAACATGAGCATGAGCTGAATCTTTGGGACATCTTAGCTTCAGGCTACACCAGCAGTTGGTGGTATATGTTCACAGTATATGTGAGGATGGTGTCCAAGTGGTAGGTTATTGGTTGGTAGGATGTTGGTTGGTAGGTTGACAGTTGGTAGGTTTTAGGTTGGAAGGTTGA